GAAGATGCACAAATTCCTCACGTTTCTCCTCCACGAACGACTCTAGAATATATTCCTCATTGAACACCCGATCGAAGTACGCCCACATCAGCTGGGGAGGATAATCTATGTTTCGAGTGTTACGTTTCCACCACTCGCAGGCGTTGCTCTGCAAAAACATCAGAGCAAGGTCAGTCCACTCGCTGACGGCCTCAAAATCTCAAACACTCGTCGCACGCCCTCCAGCCATCAGAATGGTACCTATGATTCAACAATGTTTTCACTGAGAAACTTTTAAGCTCCATTCTTCCTCAGCTTCTCTAAAGTGACCCTTGGCTCGGGCTGTCTGGCCAAGGCATTCTAATTCATAATGAACATTTATCGCACAAGCTACGTCATGTGCGCATGATCAACCTGCGAGATCCCAACTGCTCCACCATTCAGCGCTTCTTGATGGGGGACATTTTATTTGCCATTTGATTTTCATTAACTTGTAGGGGAGACACACTATCTCCCTCGGAGTGATTGTCGTTGATGTTCGGGTTAGGGTCCATTCTACAATTTATAATTTACTAAGTTAAGCAAAAATTATTACACAACTACATAATAAGGATTTACAATTATCTCCCAGAGTAGTGATGTCATAAAGTTGTGGATGCCCAATGTAGGTATGTATATTATAATAGTTTTTATTAAACAAAATTAGTTTTTTTCCAAGAGTAATGTTATATATATGTGTGTGTGTGTGTTTTGTTGGTTGATAAATTATTATCGTTCTTAATACTTAAATTAATTATCTGACCAATACTGGCCCAAAATGTAACACCCCAACACGCGTAACTTGAACCAACAGGTTAGCAAACCGGGTTGTTACTAAATTGTTATTCACATGCATACTTTTTTTAAAAAACATTTAAATAAATTCAACATCCATCCACAAAAGTTTTAGCTAAACCAAAAGTCATCGGAGTAACGATAATATAAGTTCAAACTTTGCGGAAGCTTAAAGAAAACCAAATAATGTCCGGATAGTCCATTTAGGGAGACAAAAATAACACAATTTAAAATAAGAAAGGAAAACTTTTGGCCATCCACGCTACGCTGCATCACTGCCCTCCGGGTTTCTCATCCAATCATGGGTTCATACCTGCGTGCAGTCAAAACAACAACAACTACACGCTCAGCTGCAAGGGGAGTGAGAATATACCCAACGCCAGAATTAAGTCATAGAATAACACAACATTAGCAACCATACAAACAATATCATGTAACCGATTTTAATGTTGATAATATCCTATTTATTCAAAAATTGTCTTATTCGTTTATTCCCGGCTCTTAACATATGACGGCTAAGGCCTTTTTCATCTACTTATGAGTTGTGGTTGTTGGGAACTACGCTTGGATAGGGAAGCGGAAATATAAAAATTTTGATGTCCAAACGTAGATCCACCTAAGATCCCTTACGAAAACTATGAGTTATTGTTTGGAGATATACCTTTCTTGACGAACAAGCAACGATGTGTGGTTGACAAGATTGATTCAAGAGCTTTAGCCACAAAAGTATATGACCTCTAGTGCGTACACACGAACTTTAAATGGTGTTCTTGAGAAATATTATGCTAGTAATTTTCTTAAGAATATTTTCTTAAAATATAAAATATTTGGAGAAATAAATTAAAAGAGCAAAACAATTTGGTCTTAATTAGGAGGAGGGGGGCAAAAAATTCTAGCTTAAAAAAAGGGAGAATGATCTCCTATTTATAAGGAGTGCAATCCCCATCTCAATCCAACTTGGAATATGCCTTTTAAAGTTTAGGAAAGAAATCAAATATCATTCCTACTTTAATTGCATAATTTCGACCCTATGATTATTGGTATCTTCCAAATTATTTTGTCAACTTTAATTAATAAATAATTAACACAAAATAAATATATTAACTTGTTTTAACATATATTATATATATAGGAATACATACATACATACATACATACATACATATATATATATATATATATATATATATATATATATATATATATATATAGAGAAGAAGAAAGGAAAATGATAAGGAAAAGAAAAGAAAAGGAAAGAAACTCAAAATTCTAGTTATGTTTGGTTAAGATGAAAATTGATATAGAAAATGTATTCTCAAGCTCTTTTTCTTTGGTTAGAAGGAAATTTGGTGGAATTGTGCAGATCTATGACAGTGTGAGGTCATGGTTGTATAAAACAAAAGATGATAAATCCATCAAAGAGGAACTGGTGGGAAACCTGGAGCTACTGGAAGGGGAGCTTTGGGAAGGGCAATATTTTGGTGAGGGGATGATTGGGTTTCAGAGACGGGAGAGATGGACCATATTTTGGTGGCGAGAAGACATGGCAGAGACGGGAGCTATGGATTCTCTCGTTTTCTGTCCAAAATTGGGAGGAAAATGATTTTGCCCTTTTTTAATTCATTTTCTCCCCACTTTTCTTTTCGTCTCACTTTTCCTTTCCTTTTCTCACTAACCAAACATAAAAAAACATTTCCCTCCTATTTTCTTTTCCTAGTCCAGCCAAAATCCTTGAACCAAACATAGTGTAAGTGTCCTCTCGCAAGTCACAATAAACATGACCATTTCGATTTCCTATCAGTTTTCTCTATGGATGAACTTACGTCAATTACATGTGATAAGAACAAACTGAAAGTGATTGTACCAGAACGTAATGCTTATCGAATCTCCAAAGCAAACGAGCGAATCAGATGTGATTTATGTGAATCTTGAGTAGTGGGACTATGCCAAATACCTATTTGAGAATAAAGTGTCAAATAAAGTAACACTAGTAACGGGCGATTGCCATAAATCAGTATGTAAAAGCTGAAAGGGAAAACTAGAAATACGACTCGATGACTCAAAGGGAAGACGAACATGTTTCCCCAACTGACAAGCATGACAAAGAGAGTTCTGTAAATGTTTAAAAGACATAGATTAGAGACTAGGGACTCCACGAAGGACGATAAGGCTAGGGTGACCAAGACGACGGTGCTAGAGCTCCGAGTTACCAGTGACAACGTTAACTTGGGCTTGGGCGGTGGATTGGCTCATAGGGTAGAGAGGGCCAGCATTATTGCACCGATGAATCACGGTTCCCGTCAGCATATCCTTCACAGAAAAACCAGTGGAGTCAAATTCAATAGAGCAATTATTGTCACGGGTGAAATGGCGAACAAAAATAAGGTTGTGGATAATGTGGGGGGAAACAAGAATATTTTGTAAGTTAAGGGGAGGGGATGTGGGGAATTTATAGTTACCAATAGCTGTAATGCGTACTTTAGAACCATTACCTACAATGATATATGATGAAGAATTAAATGAATGAGTACGAACATGAGAAAGAGTACCTGGGTCCGAGGCGATGTGGTGAGTGGTGCCGGTGTCCATATACCAATTTGGATCACAGAGGGTGAGGGTGTCAAAGTGATGGGCTAGGGCAATT